GTGTTGTATAACTACGGGTTTGAACAAATTTTATGCGATATTACTGGTAATCTTTGATCGGTTATAATTCAAAAACTATTATAGCCTCGACATTTTTATATAAAAATTTTTTATTCTACTTTATCTTCAGAACACGCTATTAAAATATCTTACGGTGGTTGCGAGATACCCTGTATATACAGGGTGTCCCATTTTAAATTACGCACCTGAATATCTCGGCAGGGGAACCACCAATCCGAAAGTAACCCTTACAAAAGTTTTTGGGTTCGAAGGGGGACATCGGATGGTGATTTTCAATTTCACCTTGACCTTCAAGGTCATTTGAAGGTCAAATCAAATTTTTAAATGGAAACCCCTATTTTTTACCCCGGATTCGGAAAGAGCGCAAAATTTTACGTTTAGATGGGTACTTGAGGCTCTTCTTTGGAATGACCTTCAGAGGTTATTTGAAGGACAAAATATTTGAAATTACGTACCTGAATACAAATCTTGTCGGGGAGTCACCAATCCAAATAATCCTTACAAAAGTTGTTGGGTTCGGAGGGGGACATCGGATGGTGCCTTCAATTTCATCTTGACCTTAACCTTCAAGGTCATTTGAAGGTCAAATCGAATTTTTTAAATAGAAACTTTAAAGTTATGTTAAGAATCGAAATGACCTTTAGAGATCATTTCAAGGTCAAACCGCTTACAAGTCTAGCATGACCTGAAAACCAAAATTGATCATGGTTTGTTTTTTAACATATTTGAATTAGTAGTCATTCGTATTAAATAAAATTGTTCACACCAGAGCCTGCGTTCAGTAATCGACCTAATACATACATCGATGTCCAGGCTCTGGTGTGAACAATTTTATTTAATACAAATGACTACTAATTCAAATATCTTAAAAAACAAACCACGACCAATTTTGATTTTCAGGTCATGCTAGACTTGTAAGCGGTTCGACCTTGAAATAATCTTTAAAGGTCATTTTGACATGACTTTAAAGTTTCTATTTAAAAAATTCGATGATCTTCAAATGACCTTGAAGGCCAAGATCAAGGTAAAATTGAAGGTCACCATCTGATGTCCCCCTCCGAACCCAATAACTTTTGTAAGGGTTATTTGGATTAATGGCTCCCCGACAAGATATGTATTTAAGTGCGTAATTTCAAATATTTTGTCCTTGAGATAACCTCTGAAGGTCATTCCAAAGAAGAGCCTCAAGTACCCACCTAAACGTAAAATTTTGCGCTCTTTCCGAATCCGGGGTCAAAAATAGGGGTTTCTATTTAAAAATTCGATTTGACTTTCAAATGACCTTGAGGGTCAAGGTCAAGGTAAAATTGAAAATCACCATCCAATGTCCCCCTTCGAACCCAACAACTTCAATACGGGTTATTTTCGGATTGGTGGCTCCCCTGATGAGATATTCAGATACGTAATTTAAAATGGGACAGCCTGTATATACAGGGTGTTCAAAAAGTCCCGGACCGGTGAAATATCTCGAAAACTAAGCATTTTAGAAAAAAATGTTTCAGATAAAAGTTGTGGCGTTTAAAAAGATGTATTTACTGATCACATCAGTTTGACCTTGGGTTGCGTAGCGAAGGTCAGGTCAAGGTCACATTAATTTTTTTA